ACACACACACACACACACACACACACACACACACACACACACACACACACACACACACACACACACACACACACACACACATATACATATGTGTTACGCAATATCTTTTCATCAAGATAAAACATGCGTAATGAATACGGCCGCGATTGTAATTACACGTTCCGCACGCTAACTAAGAAATGATAAATTGTTTAGCAAATAAAAATAATCAGGGGAGAAGAATTTCATTTTGAGCAAAAGCAAATTAATCGAGCGAGTATAAAATGAGATGTAGAACACGGTGAAACGATATTTTAAAGCAAATGGCAGTAACTATGAATTATTAGAAACGCGTGAAAATTGAAAAAAGAGACAAATATGCAATAGCTATAATGATACATTTCGTTTCATCAATTAATCACTATCTACACTAGATTAAGATTCGAGTCTTAATGAATGTTTTAAAGGAACGTATTTTACCAATTTGAAAATTGTAAAAGTATATCGTTTTGTATAGTTGGTTGTGTAGGTGCATGTGACGTCATTGTTTTTCCAGTGTGTCGATTGCTCCGAATTTAAATCGAATGTTGAAATATACGTGATGTAATCTCTTTATTTTTCGTACGTGTTGATTCAGCTTCTGCAATCAAATTCGTAGTTCGACCAATTTTCAAACAAGTGTATCGATTGTCGATAATAACGTTTCATTTTTTGATTGAAATTTTAAAATTTTCATGCACGACGATGTTCACTAAACTCCTGTCGCACGAATATTTATTAAATGCAAATTGCGCAAGCTATTGTATTAATTTAAATCGCGCTTTTTAAAAGATGACGTTCGAAAATGAAAATTCGAGGAAAATTCACAGACGAAATGTAGCGAGTACTTTTGTTTTAGAGTGAAATCTACTTTCTATTTGTATCGTGTCTGTCTACCTACATAATTAATATCGTCATGTCTGATATCAAATGTAGTTTAGTGCTCGTTCGATCGTAAACAAATCGTCGTGACTCTCTATTTTCCGACGTAATACACGAATTATTCTGTCCGGGCGATAACGTATCTTTTTGAATAAATCAGAAATGATTGACGTGACAGGTATATATTTTTAGACTGATCGTCAGTTATTATCTTAAAAAAAAAAAAAAAGAAAAAAAAAACAGATTTTGCACATAATAAAATATCATACACCGGTACGCCAGCTGATGTATGAATCTCTGGACGTTAATCTGGCTCCACAGGATTTCTTCCCTCTTTGTAGTACATGTAGAATATACACACGTGTACATATGTGTGTACTCTGAAGAAGCTCTGCAGCTGTTCATTTCTTATATTTCACAAACTTCAAAGTCACGAATATAGATATGCCCGCATAGACAGTAACGTCTATTTTGTTTATGCAGAGTCACAAATTTTTATGGACTTCTTGTTGAAGAAACAAGAAGTCCATAAAAATAAAATGAATTGTAAATTTCAAATAGAATGAATTGTAAATTTAAATTTCTACCTTTTAAATATCGTGATAAATCTTGCACACTTTTGCATATTTTATGTATTATATTTCAGACACGTGTAACTGAATTTTTTTAGTTTAGACACATGTGTATTTAAATATCTCATAAATGTAGAAATATTTCAAAAAGTTACATAGTTACGTTTGAATAGTGGAAAGTTTCTTTATGACGTCGGTCAACATTTCCTTTCTTTTTATTCGCAAATAATTATTCTAAAATGTCTGAAAAAATATTTGAAAATACGGAGAAATTTTCATTAATGAGAATTTCTTTCGAAACAACAGTAATTTATAGGGTGATCCCATTACTCTGTACATTTTCTCGAAGTGTGTAATCCATATTCCACATTAGTGTATTTTTGCCCATAAAAATTCGTAATCCACTTGTGTCAATCGAACGTCGCGTTGCTCTCGATCGAATGACAATCACGATTCACAGTAATTTTCAGCTGATTGCTCGCAACTTTATATTATACCGAGCACATAAATTACATGATTTATTGCACCTTCCGTGTAAGAGTTCGAGGGCCGTTCGTGTGTTACTATGATGCCGCGACGTATGATCATTCGTCGTGCTAGTTGAATCCTCGTAGGTAGCATAAGATCCCGTTGCGCCGTGTATCGGTATATTGCCGCTGTTATCTGCGATTTCGTGATCCCAATCGACAGATCGGGCCGCGAGCCGAAAGAACAACCGCGGCCAGAGAAATAATGCACCGTGGCTCGTTTACTTTGGCTGAGAATTGGTTAAAATTTATACTCGCTTCGCCTTTCGTAAACAGAACGTTCTTCGTCACTAGCTACGAAGTACCGTGATTTATCTTGCTTTTGAATATTCCCAGTTATTCCCACGTGTTCTTAATAAATAGAAACAAATATTTGAAAAATATAAAGCAAATAATAGTTAAGTATAATAGTAATAAATTAAATAATAATAATGTAATAATATTTAAATAATATTAAATATTAGTATAATAATAATATTAAATAATAGTATAATAATATTTAAATAATAATATTAAATAATAATAGTAGGATAATATTTAAATAATATTAAATAATAATAGTAGAATAATATTTAAATAATATTAAATAATAATAAAAGTAAGTAGTAAAAAATAGTTCAAAAATCTCGGAGTACTTTATTTTTAATATTCAGTATTAACGGTAAGAGCAAATAAAAAAAGTTCTTAGAAGTCTTAGGAATATTCAATACACAAACAAAATTTTTTAATTCAGTGTATTTTGTAATAATTGGTAATATAGCAACATTTTACTCTTTCGTATAATATACCATTTAATTTTTTCCGATTTTGAAACAAACGTAACAGCTACTTGCCCCGACTGATATTATATATACTGAAAATTCTGTGAACGTTTAAAAAAAACAAGGCGAAAAAAGAGAGACCAAAAGAGAGACAAAACGTGAACAGCTTCTGAAAGCAAATTCAACGTGAATTCATTTTCATGCGAACGGTACATTCGTTTCTGCGAGAAATCGTTCGTAAACTAATTTCTTTCTGTCCGTGTTTGTTTTTGAAAAAAGATTCATTCATTGCAACGTAACGTCTGCTAAATCTTCTAAAAAAAAAAAAAAAAAAAAAAAAAAAAACAAAATACGAACGAGAGAGTATTTGAATGTTTGAAATTGTTTGCGTCTGTTGTAAAAAAAAAAATAGAAGTGAGGCGGAAAAGGAAAGAAAAGAGCGAAGAGTTTCAGGCTCTCTGGCAACAACAGTATGAAAGGTTACACTCTACTTGACGATATGAACTCGAAATCCAGGAAGGAATGCATATCAAGGCCGATCTCTCAAGCCACCCGCGGCTCTCTCTCATTATCGTTCAGTTAAATCCGAAGTTAATTAGAGCTCAAGCGGAAAGCCGTTTCGTTCTGTACGAACTAATCGTTCGTGTTCGTTTCGAGGGGAAAACAGTAAATACGAGGGAAATACGAAGTCATCTGGATCGCAAAGGGTTGTTTGGAAATCCAGTTTATTAATCGCCAACAATTGAATACACACATTGATATATTTATTTTCTGCTCTTAAACCGTTGTTTCTCGCAAACTTCGTAAAAACTTCAATTTCTCATCATTTCATTTGGGGATTGATTATTGTAAAAATAAAAAAATGTTATTGTAAAACAAAAAATAAAAATTGTAAAAGTTGTAAAAATAAAGAACCATATTTCCGGAGAAATGAAAGAGTCATACTTCCATAGAAATTTCATATTATTAATTTACAACGATTTTTTTTTTGAGAAAGACTTGAGTGTACTTTTAGCGAAATATTGAAATTGTGAACAGAAGCTTGTGCTTCTTTGCTAGAAATTTTATCGTCGATAGTTCTAGCGTTAAATTAAATCAAGTGATATTTATTGCACGTATTGTACATTTTAATAATTTTACTTTTATATAACTCTTATGTATTTTATGTATATAATATATATCATATATTTTACATATCTTTACATATATTTTATATTTATACTCGATTATTAATTTACTTCATACATCTATTTGCTTTAAATTAATGCAAATTCGGATACAGATGGATTTCATACCTCACATCAAGTCATTCTGATCGAAATATCAAATGATTTATTTACAGCGATTGATTTTAGATTTTAAAGTTATAAAAAAATAACTGCAGTTAATAATTTACGATTAGTTTTTAGCTGCGATTAATTGTCTTTTGTAAGCAAACGAAATTCTACTTGGAGGCTCGACTTGAGGGTGGGGAACTTCTCATTCTGAAGCCAGACGCCGTAATCAATGCTTTAGTCAACGAATTTCACCTCCGGTGCAATTGCACGGCACGATATTGATCGGCAGCTACAAACGAGCAAGTCGCTCACCTTGCGATTAATTTGCATTTGCAGGAAGTCAGTTCAGTGACAATACACCGCCGGTAATGTGGATAGACCGAAATTTGGTGCTTCTGGATACAGAGCCGGTAGGAAGTATGGTGACTAGGGCCCGTGCCAAGGACAATGAACAGGATCAGCTAACCTATGGCCTGGAACCTCTTGGGCACAACTACAACGGGAACGACAGCCCGCAACCGCCGCTCCCTTTCTTCATCGACAATAGAACCGGCATTATCTACGTCAACGAAACGCTCAAAGACAAGGTGAGTCGGTGGCTTTTAATTTGCCTTGCAAGTTCATTTGCAGCGCCGTCTCCCCTGAAATCTCTTTCCTCGCAAGATTGAAGAAACCTTCGTTTCAGTGAATGGAATTGAAACGTTTAACAAAATTCTTGAACGTGTAGATATATTCGATATATTCGTTCAAGAGTATATTCTACGTGGGCTGTGTATTTTTCTGCATTTGTGAAATGTTCAAGGACACGTATAAATATACGGGCTGCGTCATTGAAGCGCGACCTCCAAATATTTTTTATTTTTAATCTCTTTAATTGCGAGACCGCGAGAAATATTTTTCAACGAATATTTATATAAATTATAAATTTTATTATATTTATATTTTACATTTATATATTATATATTTTTATATAATATTTATATAAATTATAAATTTTATTATATATTTATATATTTATATTTTATATTTATGTATTATATATTTTTATATAATATTTATATAAATTATAAATTTTATTATATATTTATATATTTATATTTTATATTTATGTATTATATATTTTTATATAATATTTACATAAATTATAAATTTTATTATATATTTATATATTTATATTTGTATATTATATATTTTTATATAATATTTACATAAACTATAAATTTTATTATATATTTATATTTTATATTTGTATATTATATATTTTTATATAATATTTATATAAATTATAAATTTTATTATATATTTATATAATATTTATACAAATTTATGATAATAAATGCAATATCGCATTCTCTTCACTCAGATGTGTATTTTAAATTTAATCTTTATTTTTCTTCCTTTTTTTGGTCACAGTTCAAAGTCATTTAAATGCCATTGGTATTTTTTTCGCGTAACGTAGAGTATATTTTCAAAAAAATTGAAAACCGTATCAAGATCCGCTTATCTGCTATCCTATTTGAACTTCTAATAAATAAACCAATTAATTTATTATCGATTATAAGATTACCTGTACCAAACTGAACATTCAAAGGATTAAACAGGAAATTACACAGTTTTATTCGGAGGTAAATTCTGTTTAATTATTGGACGAAGTTTCGCATGATTATTCGCCGTGTTCTCATCGAGAATTCATTGAGGTTGGTTAATAATACTTCTACGGTTTGTGCTAGGTAGAGACGAGAGATTCACGATACAATTTGAGGGATAAAACGGAAGAGTGAGAAGAACTTGACGAATCTAAATATTAAATTTAATTCAGTTCAGGTCTTTTATTTGAATATTTATTTATTTATTTTCTTTCTCAAGTTCCTCTCATCTAAATTTTCGTAATTTACGTTATTACGTATATTACTTTCACGCGTACAATTCACTTTTATAAAATCTAAAAAGATATCAAAGTTTAATTTTGAGTACTTTAATCACTCAAATGTACTTTAAATTTCATTTATTCATAAAAACGTAATTTTAATTAGCTCGCGATCTGAAATGAATTTGGTTATTCTATCGTTCTTCTACCTTCTATTATTCTATTCATCTTCTACTATTCTTACCTTTTATTATTCTATTATTCTTGCAACTTCTATCATTCTGTTCCATTCGATTCCATATTCAGTAGAACATCTTTTGGAATTGAATGAAGTATTAAACATTATAACTCAAATTACCAAAAGTCTAAACATTTAACAAGAATATATTCTTCAAGATATGCTTATTTACTCAGTTCGCTACATTTTGCAATATGTTATCCGCTTCGAGTCTCCAAGCGAACCAATTATTTCATTATTAATTAAAAAATCATCTGTGCAAGACCAAATAGATTTTCATAGATTTTCAGTAGATTTAGATTGAATCGATGAACGGCTCTTCGTATTTTGCTGCAGCAGAACGTGAATTGTTGTTGCGATACGTCTAAAGTCTAGGTAGTCGAGTTCTGGTCGTTAGACGAGGGCGAAGCACGCGCGTATACGGTCATCTTTTTTCCTCTGGATCGGGACTGGACCGATCGTGAACGTAACACAAGCTGCGTACGGTTCGACGTTCAGGGATTTAAACGACATTTCTTGCTTCTTGTTCCCAGGGAGGGCAGGACCTGTTCCTTTACGTGACCGTGTCTGACGGTCAGCTCACGACAAAGACCGAGGTCTACGTTGCTATTCAGAACACCTCGGATCCGAAGGAACCCGACTGGACCAGGTAAGGTTGCTCGTCGAGGACAAAATTGGTCGCGCGTATCGATCGATGAAAAACCGATTCCGATCTCCCGTGCCGCTCAGAAAATTACTTCTCTCGAGCAGAGGTGTATATAAGAGCCAGCAGTTTCCTGACTTCTTGATTCTTCCTTCACACGGATTTAAATTTCTTTTTATTTTATATCTTTTATTATATTACAAATATACAATATTTTATTACATTAAATAATTTATTAGTTTAATATTTTTATTATTTATTAATTTTATATAATATTTTATTTTATTTTATTTTATTTTATTTTATTTTATTTTATTTTGTTTCATTTTGTTTCATTTTGTTTCATTTTGTTTCATTCTGTTTCATTCTGTTTCATTCTGTTTCATTTTGTTTCATTGTTTCATTCTGTTTCATTCTGTTTTATTCTGTTTCATTCTGTTTCATTCTGTTTCATTCTGTTTCATTTTGTTTCATTTTGTTTCATTTTGTTTCATTCTGTTTTATTCTGTTTCATTGTTTCATTGTTTCATTCTGTTTCATTCTGTTTCATTCTGTTTCATTCTGTTTCATTCTGTTTCATTCCGTTTCATTCTGTTTCATTCTGTTTCATTTTGTTTCATTTTGTTTCATTTTGTTTCATTTTGTTTCATTCTGCTTTATTCTGTTTCATTGTTTCATTCTGTTTCATTCTGTTTCATTCTGTTTCATTCTGTTTCATTCTGTTTCATTCTGTTTCATTCTGTTTCATTCTGTTTCATTCTGTTTCATTTTGTTTCATTTTATTTTATATTTTATTATATTATATTTCATTTATTTTATGTCTTACTTGGTTACGAACATTAAATTGCACTCGACATAGTTCTTTGTACCTTCAGGTGTTAGTATTAGTTTAACGTTTAGAGGAGATGAAATAAAAAGAAATTTTTAAATTCGTGTAATTTACACAGGAATTGTCCTGTCTGATTTTAAGGAAAAGGAAAATTGAATGTAGATTTTCTCTTTTTGCGTGGAAAAGAATTGCAACAATCTCTATTAATTACACAAAAATCTGATAACATCGTTTCCTTATTGAATCTTTCGATTCTCAAGTGCAAACGATACCGCGTTCTGCTTGTTCTATTAATTTCGCTGTTATCGCCATAAATTTTTGTAAATATCCATTATTTATCGGATCCGTCTTGTTAAATTTTCAAAGTAAACAACTTGCAAGTTCTTCGTTCCACCGCTCACGACAAATCAACGTAAGACTCGAATATCATCCACTGATTTCACATAGAAAGAAATATTTATAAAAATTGCCCGAAAGCACGACTTTCCCTTAGATTCTAAAAATTCACGAAAGGTCCAATTACGAGTCCTGCTGCTGAACGAAAAGCGCGATTTTCTGTGAGTCGATAGTCAACCGAGCGGAGAAGCCACGAATTTGTCGCGGGTCTCGTGTAACCTGCTAGAAAGTTTCGTCGATAAATCACGAGGAACGGTGCATGACCTTTCGGGGGACTCTTCGGTGGCCGGTTCCATTATTCATGCTCCAGTTCGTTGACGATACCCTCGAATCCACGCGAGAACAAACAACCGTTTCTCGATGACCGACGTGGCTCGCAACTCTCGTATACATATATACATATAATTTTTGCTCGAACAGGAACCCGGTGAGCTCCGCTGGCAGAAGGAGACCACCGTTGTTGCCCGGCGTCGTTCCTGGACAGGGACTGTTTCGAAAATTGGGGATACCACCGTCGCCGGTAGCCGTGCCGCCGAGCATACCGAAAACGACGAGGCTGCAGCCCGAGGAGGCGAAACAGGCGGAGGCTGACGCCAGTCCGGCGACCACCGGTGTTCCGCAACAGTCCACGGAGGAGAACGAGGTCGAGGGGCCAGCACTCAGCTCGAAAATTGCACCTGCCGAGGCACCGCCTTCCCAAGATATAGCGATCACCTTGGTACCTGTCACCGCGGTCTGCGTGCTGCTCGTGGGCCTTGGCATGGGCGCCTGGTCCCTCAGAAATAAATTCTGCAGGAACCGCAAGTCCAAGGAAGACACGGTACCAAGACGTATACGTTTTATAGACGAAGTGTCGCGACGAGTCACACTGAAGAACGAGAGATACAGAGGAAAGTTGCTCGAAGGTGTGAGAAATAAAGGCAACGATGCACCTACTTTTTCGTGCATTGACCGATTTTTTGTGAAAGGAAGAAAAAAGAAATTAATCTATGTATGCTGGAAAATTATTAGTTTATTTTCTATAAAATCTATGCGCGAGAAGTACGAACAGTATGAATAGAACGTCGCTCTTATTTTCTCTTTCGTGCGACAGATTTTTATAAAATTGAAGTTAAAACATCTCCTAAAGCTAATTATTTTTCAACGGTATAAGTTGATACCTTGTAGAGAATGTCAAGGTTCATTGATTAATATATAAGAAGATTCCCTTCCAAAAAGTGAAGGCGTCTCTCCTACAGTTCTTTTGTATCTCTTAGAAATTCTTCAGGTATGATCCGTTACAATTGCGAGAACCATTCTGTATATATTATAAGTATAAATTTTAACGATACGAGCGAAGTCAGAGAAATTGTGGCCCAATATTGGATGAATATTAATAATAATAGAACTATGAATTAGAAACTTCAATTAAGAACAATTATAGTAGAAGTTATAGATTTAATTATACGTAATTATAGTTAATTACTGTAAAAATTAAGAACAGAAGAAATTTCATTTTTAAGAAAGCTGAATTTAAAGATTTGTGAATTTTGAGAGAACCTGCGACTCAAATTAAGATAAAATTTAATATATTAATGGTTTTATTTTTAAGAAGATTTTTAAGAGAATTGTCAAGTATTAGCAATAGTTCTTGATTAGATGCATTTAAATTTTAAAGGCTCTAACAATGATTGAAGTTTCTCTATGTTTGATTCTCGTTTGTGTTTCGAGATGTAGAATCCTCCTGATTCTAATTTTATTATCTATTTAGACGTGCAATGAAGTAGTATGATGTGTAACAGTTACAACAAAATCTTAACAGAATTCAAGAATTTGTAATGCTTATAATATAATATATTTATTATAAACTCATAATATAAAGTTTTAACATAGTTTACTTTATATTTTTCTCGATGAAATTCTGTTTTATTTCAAAAAATGACTCTTGTTTCTTTTTTTTACACAGAAAGAGCAAGCTTCGGTCAGCGTTTCGAATATATCGGATGATCCATCTCTTGTTCTGAAAAGATGGCGAGGTCCGAAAGCGCACAACAATCGATACGAGCCCTGGGAAAAAGAAAATCAAGGTGCGCAGAATAAACAAGAAGATAAATGGGAATTTCCACGGCATCGATTAAAGGTCGGTAATTACAGCAATTTAAAAATAATTGACGGATATAAACGGATATAGTAATTAATCGATTACGCATTTACATTTTCCCATGCGTTTCGTTTCAACATTCCCCCAGTAAAATGAATCAATTTCTTCATAAAATGCCTCGGATATAAATATTTCGTTTTACATCTCTATATATTTTTATACCATCTGCATTTCTGTTCCTTTAAAATTTTCAGAAAAAGATCTATTTTATCATCATCGAGTAGTTCTAATTAGAACTCTGTTAACAGTTAGCGTTGAAACCAACATTTTTGCATACAATAAAGAGCACAGTTCAACTAACTTAATGACAAAAAAAAAAAAAAAAATAAAAGAGAAAAAATATAAAGAAAAAATTATATAAAGCCTCTACTTTAATAATTTATACTTAGAGATACTTTTGTTCTTAAAAATTGTCCAAATTCAAACGTCTCCGAAAACGTTAAAAACATTAAGGAAAAGAAAGAATGATGATTAAGTCCGCTGCAATTCTGAGGATTGAAATCTTAAAACCACGTTGTACCATTTCATTGAGCTTCGAACGTTAGGAAACGACGAATTGTTGAGATTATCATCGCTAAATTATCTTGTTCGAGATAGGTTTTCAACATCCTCGGCGAGGGTTGCTTCGGTCAAGTGTGGAAGTGCGAGGCCTTGGACATCGACGGGAAATCAGGCGCAACGATCGTGGCGGTGAAGACGTTGAAGGAGAACGCGACGGAGAGAGAACGGCTGGACCTGGCGCAGGAGTTACGAGTGATGAAAAATTTGGATCCCCACCCGAACGTGGTCAGGCTGTTGGGTTGCTGTACAGAACGCGAGCCTATGTTCGTGATTTTGGAATACGTGAGCGGCGGGAAATTGCAAAGCTTTCTAAGAGCATCCAGAGAGGAAAGAAATCATGGCGCGCCCGGACTAACGTCCAGGGATCTAACTGGATTCGTTTATCAGGTATCTTGTTAAGCACAAAGTCAAACTGGTGTGTTTTAATCATTCGTTTTTACATAATGAGAAATTTCAATAGTACTCTTTACCAGTTTTATGGTATCTATATCAAATGAAATTTTATTTCCTTCTGTGCGAGGAGAAAAAAAATTGTCCTCAATTCTAATTGAGAAGGTCAAAATTTTAAACGTTTGGATTCAGTAAACAAACATTTGGATTCAGTAAACAAACATGTCAACGCCTGTAGAGGAATTTGAATTTAGAAGAATTATGAAGAATTTCAAAAAGAAAAGACAAATGTCTCGATTACATGATTTGGAAATGTTGCAGACGACAAAATATCCAATCGACTCTGAAAGTAAAAGCTTCAGTCTTTTTAGAAACGAGCCCAGACAGAGTTGTTGTGCGACGTTTTATTACAAAGTTACAGGAGTTCAAATATCCGTGATTTCTCGATTACAATTTAATGATGTTTGAACTAACAATGAACATGTATATATTTAAAAGTAGAAAATAAATAGAGAATAGAATTTTCATTTGAAGTAAACATCTTCCAACAGTTCCAAAGATGATCTCTTTTAGATTATTCTCAAATAATTCGACTGTGCGTGCTATTAATACGCAATTGTTAACGAGCATTACACTGAAATGTCATTTACGCATTGCAGATAGCCAAAGGTATGGAGTACTTGGCATCGAAAGGAATTATACATAGAGATCTAGCTGCGAGGAACATATTGATCGACGAGAATCGCGCTTGCAAAGTCGCCGACTTCGGATTCGCCAGAGACGTGGCCGCTAATCAAATATACGAAAGGAAGTCCGAGGGTCGGCTACCCATCAGATGGATGGCTCCGGAGAGCCTCTACGATAACATCTTCTCCGTGAAATCGGATATATGGAGTTTCGGGGTATTAATATGGGAGATCGTGACCCTGGGCTCCACACCTTATCCTGGCTTAGCAGCCGCAGAGGTACTTTCTTCCAGGGTTTATTAATATAGAAGAATCCCTCTAACAAACGGATGCGGAACGTTTTCAAATTAATTAATTCGAATAAAATAAATATAAAATTGAAATGAACTCGAAGAGGCTGATATTCCTTTTCTATAAAAACAGTCGTATGAACGTCGTTTTACGACTTCTTTTTCGAAATATATCGGCAATAAACTGTAATGAAATTAAATGTAATCGGAGAATTGAATTATATGTATGAAATAATTAAATATATTAAACGTCAAAAAGTGAAATTAGCCTAAATTACACGTTCGGAGGAATTGTAAAAATGAACGAACTCGCGTTAGAATTCTTTAAGAATCGGATGCGGAACGTTTTCAAATTAATTAATTTTACGACTTCTTTTTCGAAATATATCGGCAATAAACTGTAATGAAATTAAATGTAATCGGAGAATTGAATTATATGTATGAAATAATTAAATATATTAAACGTCAAAAAGTGAAATTAGCCTAAATTACACGTTCGGAGGAATTGTAAAAATGACCGAACTCGCGTTAGGATGCTTTAAGAATCGGATGCGGAACGTTTTCAAATTAATTAATTCGAATAAAATAAATATAAAATTGAAATGAACTCGAAGAGGTTGATATTCCTTTTCAATAAAAACAGTCGTATGAACGTCGTTTTACTTCTTTTTCGGAATATATCGGCAATAAACTGTAATGAAATTAAATCTAATCGGAGAACTGAATTATATGTATGAAATAATTAAATACATTAAACGTCAAAAAGTGAAATTAGCCTAAATTACACGTTCGGAGGAATTGTAAAAATGAACGAACCCGCTTTTAAAAAAATGCGGCGGCTATTTAACTTTTAATTAATTAGATTCCAATCTTTTTTTTTTTTTTGCAAGGGACCATCCCTAAATTCTCCATTAACCGATGCTCCAATAATCGGTGTTCTGATAATGGAGATTCTTTTGTACTTAAATAATTCAATAAAATGTTCCTGGGTAGCTAATTCCATTGGGACGGGCATTTAATTAAAATCGGGTAGATATATCATTCTTTTCTTGCAGGTAATGAGGAGGATCAAAGAGGGCTACAGGCTGGACAGGCCAGAGCACTGCAAGAGAGAGCTTTATAACATTATGTATTATTGCTGGGACAAAGATCCAGCGTGTAGGCCATCGTTTGGAGAACTGGTCAGCCTGGCGGAGGGCCTTTTACTCGACGAAACCGATTACATCGAATTAGATAGGTTCCCAGACCATTCGTATTACAATGTGCTCAATCTCAGCGGCGAGAAGTTGTAAATGATAGTACTTAAACTGCAGCGAGTATCGTGGTTCTGTAATTGTCAGTAATTCCCTCGGATGGCAGTTGAAAGCGTTGCGCAGCTTTAATGTGACATGTATTTGGAAATGTCACTCATCAAAGTAATTTGACTTCTCTTTCTGCCTTTTCGTTCCGACACGACTGATTTGTGTATGTTCATGCAATTTCATAAGCGTTTCAGTTTGTAAATATACAGAATGATTTATTCCTCCTTTTTTGCTATTATTGATGTTTGACTTATGAGTTTAATTAGTTGTTCGCTACCAGCTTGCTTTGAAATTCTATTCATCGAGGATTTGTCTAAACTATGCCGAGCTGTATATAATGTTAATAAACGAACGTTCTAGACACGTTTTACATGTTGAACGAATTGCAAGTCATGAACTAGTCAGAGTTCAAAGCAAATTATATTCGCGTTTAATTCCCTCTCGCAAACAGACTACTCAAAAAGAAACAGCATGAAATTCAATAGTTTTTCGAAGTTTGAAGAGAACGATACGTATGAATTAAGGAACAATTACTCAAATAGCGAAAATTTTTTACATGTACCGATGCGAATTGTAAATATGTATTAAGTAAGATTTTCGATAAGTTATTGTGTAATTATTATTATTATTATTATTTTTTTTTTTTTGTAAGAATAAACCACACTTTACTACAGTTTAGTCCTTTCTCTCAATAAATTTTTACAACACGATTGTAACAATTTTTTATAAAGAAAATAAATCCAAAAATTTCAAGTGCAAGTCAGATCAAAAACTTCATACGTGTATACATAACATAGAGCGACTTATTATCAGTTCAGAGTGATTGAAGAACAAATTCCTTTCTCATGACAATGACTATTAGTTTGATGACGCGGCAACAAACACATCAAGAAATATGATTTTCAATTTAAAATATTCGATTTATTTTAAATCTGACACTTTTCTTTTTAATATTCGTAAATTTAAAGAAATCATACGTTGAGTGTTGCTACCAATACAATGAAAAACAAATTTATAAGAAAAAAAAAAAAAGAAGAGATATGTTAATTTATCAGCAAAAGACACATCGTTTTTTATATAAGTTTTTTTTCATTTAATGAACATCGCTCAGCCGTCTGTTGTAATTTTTTTATAAACTCGCATACACACATACACACGCGCACACACACACGCACACACATACGCAATTTGCTATATAAAATCTGTACGAGCGTACAACGTGAGTAGCAGACGACGCGACGCAACGCGCAAGTAGTGTCGGCTCTAATCTATGCCTGAGTGTTGCGTTCTGTCTGTATAATTGATCTCTGTATCGCGTTATCTCCATTTGCCTATTTTTGGTCAGATAAATCACGATCTAACTCTCGGTAATATGGAGAAGAACAAACCTCTTCGTAATATGGCGAAAAACAAGAATATACCGTATTCGAAGACCGGTGACAAGGAGGAAGATGAGGTTAGTTTACGTTTCGCTGCGAATAACGAGCGGTGAGGTTAAAAAAAATGTGTCAAAATGACACGAACGAACCGCGCGACGTGTGTCATGCCGCTCAGTCCGTATGCTTTAACAGTTTAAAGCGAATGTAACATTTTGCAGATGTTATTGGAACCATTTAGTTACATTCTGCAAGTACCTGGAAAACAGATCAGGACCAAGCTGACACACGCCTTCAATTACTGGTTAAAAGTGCCAGAGGATAAACTACACGCTGTCGGTAATATAATACAGCTACTTCACACCTCCAGTCTCTTGTAAGTCTCATACTTAACGTTTATTTTAAAAAGTGTGCGCAAGAAAAGCGAACAATATTTTCCAATATTTTCCTCCCTGTATGCGATACTCACAAAATGTTGATTGATTAATGTTTGCAGAATCGACGACATTCAAGATAATTCAGTTTTAAGGAGGGGCATCCCAGTAGCTCATAATATTTATGGTGTGGCAAGCACGATAAACGCTGCAAATTATAGTATGTTCATTGCTTTGGAGAAACTGCTCGCTTTGAATCATCCAGAGGTGAACAAGTTGTATAACAGTTCTCCTTTTTTTTTTTAAATTTTTTCCCCAAATTTTAATCTCTATCCAGTTAAAATTCGTGCCCAGTGTATCCAAGTGTATGTGGAACAATTGCTGGAACTTCACAGAGGTCAAGGTATGGAAATTTATTGGAGAGACAATTACATTTGTCCGTCAGAGACAGCTTATAAACAGATGACCATTCGAAGTAAGTTTTCAACCGATTGATGTTAATCAGTTTCCTATTTATTTCATCAATGCGTATCTTTTCCGTTTCTTTCTTATAGAAACTGGTGGACTCTTTGATCTGGCTGTAAAACTAATGCAACTGTTTTCCGATTGTAAGGAGAATTTTATACCTTTGGCTGGTATCTTAGGACTTTACTTTCAAATTCGTGACGATTATTGTAATCTACATCTACAAGAGGTAAGCTCTCAAGATTAACAAACAAATCAATGTCGTAATGTATTCTAACAATATTTCTAGTATGCCGAAAATAAAAGCTACTGTGAGGATCTTTCTGAAGGAAAATTTAGTTTTCCCATTATACATGCTATACGGACTCATCCGGAAGATAGACAAATACTGAGTATCCTTGATGTAATATACTAATTAATATTTAGCATTAGTTTAATACACCAATTAATTGATTTAAACACTATCTTAAAAATATATTTGAATTATTATTATTATCATTATCATCATCATCATCATTATTATTGTTATTATTATTATTATTATTATTATTGTTCCTTAGTTACTTTTAATGAATTATTATTATCACTATTGTACCTTAGCTCTTAATGAAGATATTCTTAGACAACGTACTAAGGACATTGAGGTGAAACGATATTGTGTTAACTTGTTAGAAAAGTTTGGATCCTTTGCTTACACAAGGACTGTACTGGAAGAATTGGACAAAAAAGCAAGAAATGAAGTACAACGCTTGGGTGGAAATCCTTTATTAGTACGATTGTTAGATGAATTAATGAACTGGAAAGGTTGTGATCCTCAACAGCACGATAAAAAAGGTGGTCTTTAATCATGTTTTATTATTTTTATTATTTCTAATATATGTTATATATAAAAGAAATGTTATATACATGTTACATACATATCTAATTTACGTAAGAGAAGAAAATGATAGAATTGCTTCTGATCGGTTTTTCTTTTTTCATTTCGTAAGTAACATGAATTTTGAATAACTTTGAGTAACTAAAGTTACTCTATACACGTCGATATAAAAACATTCAACAGTCTCTTTTTACGTAATTGATTTTATTTGAAATTCAGATGCTTGTTACTATATGGAGTTTTTAATAGAAAATGCGATGATTAAAATACTTTTCAATTAACACGACTTAATATTAATATAAACTTGTTCACATTCTTTTAATATGTAAATATCTTCTGTACGAACTATACGAACTTGATGTTCATTTTTTAAATTAATTTTGTTATTTTGATTTTATACATTATTTTTCTAGAGACAGTACAAATGTAGATTATCGGTTTTGTTAAACGTAAAACTTATAGTTTAATAGTTTAATATTATTATCAATTGCTTTTTAATATATATTTTGTAACAAAAAACTGTATATTGATTCTGATGAAATAATGTCGATAAGGGATAATCGCGATCATAATGAATACCTCAGGAAGTTTAAGAATGCGTTTATTTACATTGCACGATTAAAAGAAAAAATTAAATTAATTTATTCTTCTATGTAATTACGAATATACGTCTATTGAATTAAGCGGCTGTAACTATGTTATATCTGTAGGAATCTCGGCTTGAGATACCAATTTGTAGGAATTTTGATAAATGATGGTTGTTTACTTAAATTTAAATAAAGAAAATTCGCTTAATAATGATTATAAAGTAACGTTTCACACTATTTTCTTAATTGCTAAACTCGCTAGACTCGCAACTCTCAACTCACTCTGTTCTTTCTGAGTCATCGACACTCACTGCTTTCTTCCTCATTTGCACAAAATTCGTCATTCATACAAACATACACCCTAAATATGTAATTAGTGGGATATGCGTGTAAGTCAGAAATGACTCCAGCACGAGACGCTGAGGTTCAGTAGTCGAAGGGTTAATATCTTAAATGCTAGGCCTGGAAGGATAGCCATAAACATTCCCAAGTTCCAGGCCTAACTTTCTCTACAGTACGCCACTTGGGGCATCTAGTTGCAATTGTTGGGCATTGGAGAAAGTTCTGGGCCCTTTCCCAGAATTTGCCCATCCCACATATCTAAAACAAGGTAATGATAGTAATGATAATAAATAAAATCAATTTTCTTCCTTGTAAATGAAAGAAAAGTTATTATAATAAAGGTGTTGCGTGAGACAACTATGTAGCAATTACGTTTTCACGAGTTTTTATTATCAACTGCCATATGTGTACAATAATTTAATACGTACGTTACATAGTATTAAACTTACAATTAGCCTTAATCGCTTGTATGGAAATTTTACTACTGATTTGTACATCGTGGGATCATATGCTGTACGAATTAATAATGTGATATACAACATGTAGTTCCATACAAAACCATTTGTAACGAATAAATATATCTTCATTAAATCTAAGCAACATATGTATAATTTATTTATTTCATCACATTTCTTTTTCCACTTACTTTATTGTGTACGTTCTCAAATACAACTCATAATTAGTCAAACGTATACGTTAATGTCCAAACATTATGTCGCCAGAAGAGTATGTTGTTAGAACACATTCTTTTCCGATAATATAATGTTCGAATGTTAAGTATTTTCCATTCCGTGTCTTCATTCGATCAAGCAAAATATATAAATGAACAATACTCATTTGTGCAATCGTTAACAGCAATGTCTGTTTGTAACAATGTCTTGCATTTGATAGTACATTGTAAGAAACAATTACGATGCGTTTTTAAAAGCTATTTTAAATACAAACGCCTCTAACGCTATAGACTCTATAAACTATTATTCCTACAATTACATTTTTTATAAATTAACACGACATGCGTAAAACGAAACGTGTCGCTTATCACATACTCTATCAATCGCTTATACGTAACGTATTATTCATCATAAATTTGAGACCGAAGTTTTCGTTATTATAAATTTTAACATTTGCTCTTTGCTTTGCAACTAAAATTTTGTTTTGTTTTTTTATTAAAAATTCTGTCTTTATCACCGGTTATTTTTCAATATATAAAATTTCACCGATGAAATTCGTTTTAACGATTAATTAATTTTCAGCAAAAAGAAACGAGAACTAAATTCTCGTGCAAGTGAAAGGTGTACAATAAAGTTGAAGATTAACTTTGCAATTTAACCTGCAAGAACTTTTTTCATTAATTTACAAGTCCTCAAATTTACGATTCCGTTTCTTCTCTCGGAACTCGCCCCATTCTCTTTTTACATCGTTCTTCGCAGTCGTTGAGTTGCGATCGATTGCGATTAATGATTCGAAAACATCTATTGGCAAATACACGGAAAACAAAACGAACGTATCGTCGTCTCTCGAGAGACTAACGTTAAATAGCAACCTTTCATCAACAACCGAAACGAGAACGTGTACCGCCAGCGCTCGACGCGAAAGGAACTCTCAACGATCTAAGGCCGATTCCGCAGAAACCGCATCCTCCTTCACATTCTACTTCGCCGACTCGTGGACGCAAATCCGAGCTACGCAAGAACGAGAAAAAGGATCAACATCCTCGGGCACAAAGGTTCGATCTCGCGCGCCGGATCTTCCGCCGAAATTTTCCAGCGGGATTCGCCCCACTCGTTTCCGTTTCTCTTCTCCAACTTCCAACTGTTCGCTTTCTGCAAACTTTCCAAACACGCAGACCACCCTCCATCTCACTCTATGTGTCTTCCCTTGCTCTGTGTATGCATTACGTTTTCGCGAAGACGCCAGCAGTGAGCCGAGATTTCGGCGCCGTTCGTGGAACGAGAAGAGCTGCGGCGTTCCCTGGTCCCGCCATCAACGACTAAGACACCGTCGCGATCTGACACGTCCTCTGTTCCGGTTCACTGTCCTCGTCCGACTCGCTCGCCCACGAGGGCTGACGCTCGTGTCATATTTCCCCGTCGCTGTCGCCCACTCGGCCAGTTGGTCCAGACACGCCATCGTCCAGCACTTCCGTCACCTTGCATCATGCGCTCGCTCTTAGAAAATGTTTTGTTCGCCGTGTCGCGCGGATATTTTCGTGCAGGAGGGACTCGTGTTGGATTGTCTGGCGAGTAACGGAGGAGACAAATGCGACTGGAGAGAGAAAAGGGGGAGAGAGAAAGAAGGAAGGCGATCGTGGTGATTAATGTTTTGTTCTTGCGGTCATTGTGGTTTTGTAATTTGGAAAAATGATGGTTCAATTCAATTGTGTCATTTGTGTTATGGTGATGATGGTATACTACTGTAATGATAATAGTAGTAACGCAGAGTGGTCGCTGAAACACTGAATGATACAAAACAAAAATAACTTTTACAAACACATGTTTTTTTAATTCTCTTATTATTTTATTTGGAGATATAGTTGACGGATTGTTTTTTCAGTATTAGGCGTGAAAAACACCATTTTGAAAATGAACAAGATGTTGCAAATTCTTCAGTTTTTCAGTAGCCACCCTGTAGTAATAATAATCAATAGTAATAATAATATTATTAATAATGGTAGTATTAATAATGGTAGTAACTGTAATAATAGTATTATTATTATATAACAGTGTACTATGCTGCTACGTAATTTAGGTTGAGATATCTCCTAAACTAAAGTTTTGTCGATACACGATGGGTTAGTATTCTTTTTATAGACAATGTCGAGAGCTGTATCGATTTAAAAAAAGTGGAGGTGAATTTGAAATCTCCGGAATTCCTCCAGCTAAACTGAACGTTACTGTCATGTCACCCTCTGTCAATAAAACTTTTTCATATTTCCAAAGACAAGGATACTCGAAGTGCTGAAACTTAAGTAAAACATCTTGTATAAGTAATGCACTAGTATGATAATGGTAATAGTGTGTGTAGTAATAGTATTTTGTGGCTATTTCATAATTTAAGTAAATGTGGCAACAGTGCACTAATGTGACATTATTTTGACATTATGACGACCGATTACTTTTGCGAGTAACTTTTGTCAGGATTTAACAAAACTGTGTTAGAAGGTTACTTTTGAATGACTAAGTAACGTGATAATTATGATAACACAATTGATTTGTGTTTATGTGATTATATTTCTAAACAAATTATGTTAAAGAGTGTTAACTATTGCAAAGAATATTCATGGAATCTTTGAAACTTCAAATGAATATTCTTATATTATCATGCTTTTGTAGATAGAAATTTTTTCTACGTTACTCGTAAAATTACAAAAAAAAAAAAAAATCCAAATCTAAAAGAATAGAATGGAAAAATTCTGAGATTTCTAATACCATCTAAAACTATCGATCGATTAATCTGGAACGAATGCTTCGTTAGTTCAAGGATTGGAATTTGATTTAATCGAGTAAAAAAAGGTCTTAGACAAGATATTATAATGTCGACATATTGACAGATCGATGTTGAATAATGCGGGGAGATAAAAAAAAAACAAGAATAAGGAAAAAAGAAATTGTAAATTTTATTTCAAGCCACTTACGAAACTGAAACTATTACTGCTATTGCTACTAAACTACTCTGATATTACGACCATTCAAATTTATTTATATTTCACATCATCTTCAAATTGCATTTTCGTCTTTGTTCTTACCGAACACAATGAGGGTCAAAATGTGATGCGACAAAATAAATTCATCGAGCCAGGGACAATAAACTCCTGTCTTGTAACTTTTTCTACGGCAGGGACCTCCCGCGACCGTATTTCATATTTCAAACTGACATTTCCGTATTGTAGTCATATTTGACTCTTAATTCCAAGGCTCGATGAGTTTCTTCATCGCATCGGTCCCCACCATAAACAGGACACTAGTAAACCGGCAGGACACGGAAGATAGAACCGTTAGTTCCAAGAAGCAATTGTCAAATTTACTTCTTGGAACTGACTCTGAAAATGTTTGGAAAAACCCATCTTTCCGATCACAGGATCGGAAAGGAAACAAAGAGGGCTCGGATATATAAAAGCCGACTCCGAAACAAACTAAAACAGTCTTATTCACAGTTTCAAGTCATCAAGAAAACCTCCCGCGTGTCTGCCGGTTCGCGTCCCCCAAACCCAGTGCATTCCAGGGATTCAATTCACACTCTTTAATCAATATCACAAATCAAACTTTACTTTGAACTAGCTGCACTTCATTAACGTTGAAGGCAGCGAGCCACCGA